ATTATATATATATTCTTTTTTTTTTTTTCTATTAACAGAAGCATAAAGGTGCACATTGGAGATTTTTTCCACATGGATTTAAAAGAGAAGGAGTTTTGGGTAAATCATCTACTAACCCCAAATTTTTCAATCAGAGACCCCTTTTTTGAGAATTTCTATCAAGGAAATCTTTCTCTGAGGATTTTAAAGAAAAGGCAAGGATCCTTTTGGGCTGAGGTGACTGACAGGCAAACTGAGGGCCACCTGGCATTAATCATCATCATCATCATCATCATCATCATCATCATCATCAGAATAGCACTGACCATCAACCCAGCACCATGTGCCACATGTTGGTGTGCATTGCCTTCCATCCCTGTAGACGTCCTATAAGCAATTTCTCTTCCATTTGACAGTTGAGGCAGAGAATGGGAATGCTCAGTAAAGAATCTGGGTCTCTTATTTAAAGTCCATGTCAGTTTTTTTATTTTTTAACTTTTTATTGTGATCTGAGTGAAAGTTTACAGAGGAAATTGGTTTTCCATTTAACTGTTCAAACACATTTTGTTTCCTGGCATTGAACACAGTCCCCACAATGTAACAGCACTCCCTGTGGTTACCATTTCCTCTCTGTGGTTACCATTTCCATTTGTCTTTCTCTCTTATTTGTTCCTGCCTTCTCAGCTTCATCCCTGGGCAAATGCTACCCATTTGATCTTACATATGGTTGACTGTTCATCCCAAATCCATGCTTGTAAAGGCTGACAATCCAACGCATGGTTGAATCTTTTTCTAAATAAAGCTCCTCAGGGTGCTAAGATACAACTGACATTAATTGATCCATCTTGGAGAATATTCAAGTAACTCTGGAAACCAAATTCCATGGCCAAGGCCTCTTTTTTACCTTTGCACCAGCTGGGATAGTTTCTTCCTCTTTGGTAATACAGTCTGTCCATGGACTCCAATGTCCACTACCTTGCTTGAGAAAAAAGAAGTCATAGATGCTTCCTGGGTCACAAATAAACAAAACAGATCATTAGCACATGAAGGTTTTATACTTCACATGTGAAATATTTAACTATCTGAGCTACAGGCTTCTAAAAACCACCACCAATACTGGTATAGTTGTGGTGAAACTTATGGTGGTAACTATACCACCTTGCTGGTGACTATGTAAAGTGGACCAGCACTTTTAAAGGAGTAAATAATTTATTTCTTTTTATATAAAAATAATAGGTGCAAATTATATAAATTATTAAGTTGTTTTTAATAATGTAAACAGAAAATACTGAAAAGAACAAAAGAAAAGGCATTAAACATTCCAGATCTCACTTCTAGAAATAACTTTTAATGGCCATCCTTCCAGCCTTTTTTCTGGGCACATAAACATTAGAAAGTGTAAAGGCAGACAGATGAGATAGTTTCTAAAAATGGGATAATAATCTTTATGAGAACTGGATAATTCAACACATACTATTTAAAAATAAAACCAAAACTCACTGCCATCAACTTGATTCCAACTCATAGTGACCCTCATTGGGTTTCCAAGGCTATAAATCTTTACAGAAGTAGATTGCCTCATCTTCCTCCCACAGAGCAGCTGGTGGGTTTGAACCTCTTACCTCCTGGTTAGCAGACAAATGCCTTACCTACTGCTCCACTGGAGCTCCTTATTTTAAAATAAAGATATTAAATTTAGTTTTATTTATATTTTTAGGAGACTAAAGTAAAAATTTCAACAAGATGGACTGACACAGTGGCTGCAACGATGAGCTCAAGCATAGCAAAGATTGTGAGGATGGCACAGGACCAGGCAGCGAATCGTTGTGCTCTACACAGGGTCGCTGTGAGTCGGAGATGACTTGACAGTACCTAACAACAACAGCAACCAAGGGAAACTGGAATCCCTGGTGGCATAAATTGTTAAGTGCACAACTACTAGCCAAAAGATTGGTGGTTAGAACCCACCCGGAGGCATCCAGGAAGACAGGCCTGGTGATCTGTTCCGGAAAGGTCAAAGCCTTGAAAGCCCTATGGAGTAGTTCTATTCTGCTTACATGGGCTCACCATGAGTTGGAATTGACCTGACTGCAACTAACAACAACGTGAAGCAAAGACCTGCAGAACTTCACATAAATAATTCTTCACTGTAAGAGATATTGGTTCCTAAAAGATGCTTATAAATTAAAAAAAATAAAAAAGCCATTAATTGTTAAAGTCATTATGCTTTTTTAAAAAATCATTTAATGTCATTTTGTTAGTGTATTCCAATGTTTTATTATGGAAATTAAAAAAAATACACTAAAGTAAAGAGCATAGTATAATAAACTGCATACACCCATTATCCAGCCAACAATTACCAACATTTTCCAATTTGTTCCACCCATTTCCCTAACACCAGTCACCACTGTATCTACTTTCCTTCCTTTCTTCCTCCTCCTCCCTCCCTCCCTCCCTCCTTCCCTCCCTTCCTTCCTTCCTTCATTCTTTGGGTTCTTGTCTATTTGGAAATGCCTATCTATTTTGCTTTTGTATTTGAACTGTGACTTGACTGAGAAAAATAGTCTTATGTCACATTTTTTTCAGAAATTTTCAGACATTGCTGTATTCTGTTTTCTTGCATTTTAAATTGCTGTGGAGGAGTCTGGGGTTTTATTGACTTGTCTTTCTTACCTAGTTACTTGACAGAATCTCTTTTAACCTGAAACTCTAAATAGCTCATCAGGTTATGCCTTCTGGTCAATTATTCTATATCAACTTTTTTCTTGGAACATATCATACATTTATAATTTGTAGAAATAGTTCTTTCTTCATAGAGGAAACTGTTCTTAATTTATATCTTTGGATATATTGTCCATACTATTTATTGGGTAAAGAGCTCTGGTGATGCAGTGCCTAAGGCATTTGAATGCTAGCTAGAAGGCTGGCGGTTCAAAACTCACCAGCTGCTCCACAGAAGGAAGATGGGGCAATCTACTTCCATAAAGATTCACCACCTTAGAAACCCAATGGGGGTCACTATGAGTTGCAATTGACTCAATGGCAGTGGGTTTAGCTTTTGGTATTGGTTATTTATTGGGTTTCCTGCTTCAGGAATCAGCTTTATGTGGCCTCCATATCAACCATATTCTCTGCAATTGCTTCAATGTCTTTGTTTTTTCCTTCTATAATAAGTTTGTTGATCTCAATCTTTGAAGTCATTTAGCAGATAATTATCTTTGCTGGCTCTAATTTATTTATTAGCTCTTTAATGATATTACAAAGTTTTCAATTTCTTTCTTTGCTTCTTCAATCCCTCTTTTAATCTCTGTGACTTTATCACCTCATCTACAAACTATTCTAAAAAACAGCTTTATTTATATATAATTCACATACCATACAATTCACTGATTTAAAGTCTACAATGTCATGGTTTTTAGCATATTCACAGAGTTGCAAAACCATCACAACAATCAATGTTAGAACATTTTCATTATCCCAAAAAGAAACCCTGTGCCCCTAATTCATCACTGCCTTGATCCCACTCCCTCTCCCAGTACTAGGAGACCATTAATTTACTTTATCTCCATAGATTTGCTTATTCTGGACATTTCTTATAAATGGAATCATACAATTTTTTTTGAGACTGGCTTCTTTCACTTAGCATAACATTTTCAAGGTTCATCTACATTGTAGCATGTACTAGTATTTTCTTTTGTTCTGAATAGTATTCTACTGTGTGAATATACCGCATTTTCTATATCCATGCATCAGTTGATACACATTTGTGTTTTTCCTACTTTTTTTTTTTTTTGGCTATTATGAATAAGGATGCCTTGAACATTCATGTACAAGTTTTTGTGTGGACATACACTTTCAGTTCTCTTGCCTCTATATCTAGCAGTGAGTTGCTGAATCACATAGTAATTCTATGTTTACCTTTAGGAGCTCTGGGGGCTTAGTACCTAAGGCATTTGACAGCTAACCAGAATGTTTACCTTTAGGAGCTCTGGGGGCTTAGTACCTAAGGCATTTGACAGCTAACCAGAAGGCTGGTGGTTCAAACTCATCAACCACTCCTTGGAAGGAAGACTGGGCAATCTATTTCCACAGAGGTAGAAAAAGCAAACCAAATAAATAAATAAATAAGCACCCCACCCCACCCCCCAAAAAAAGGGCAAACCAAACTCACTGCCATGGAGTTGGATCTGACTCAGAGCTACCCCTCCTTGGGTTTCCAAGGAGGTATCACTACAAAAGTAGATTGCCCAATCTTCCTTCCCAGGAGTGGCTGATGGGTTTGAACTGCCAGCCTCTGGCTAGCAGTCAAACACCTTAGGCACTATGCCACCAGAGCTACTGCCTTGGAAACCTATGAGTTGCTATGAGTTGGAACTGACTTGATGGAAGTGAATGCTTACCTTTTGAGAAACTGCCAAATCATTTTCTAAAGCAGCTGCACCATTTTACATTGCCATCAGCGATGTATGACAGTTCCAATTTCTCCACATTCTTGCTAACACTTGTTATTGACTGCCTTAATTTATTATAGCCATCTTAATAGGTTTCAAGTGTTATCCCATTGCTTTGATTTGTATTTCCTTGATGGCTAATGACATTGAGTATACCATTTTATGTGCTTACTGGACATTTGCAGATCTGCTTTGAATATCTATGTATTCAGATCCTTCATCTATTTTTAAAATTGGCTTATTAGTCTTCTTATTATAGACTTATAATAGTTCTTCATATATTCTAGATACAATTCTCTTATCAGATAAATGATCTGCCAAAATTTTCTCCCATTCTGTGGACTGTCATTTTATTTTCTCAATGCTCTTGTTGGAAGCATAAGAGTTTTTAATTTTGATGAAGCCCAATTTATTTTTTTCTTTTGTGGACTGTGTTTTTGGTGTCATATTTAAGAAACCACACCCTAATCCAAGGACACAACAATTTGAACCTATGGTTTCTTCTAAGAGTTCTATAGTAATAGCTCTTGCATTTAGGTCTTTGATCTATTTTGAGTATGCTTTTATATGGTGTATGGAGTCTAAATTTATTCCTATGAATGTAGATATTTATTCCTGTCAATTGACCCAACACCATTTGTTCAAAAGACTTTCCCCATTTAATTGTCTTGGTACTCTTGTCAAAATCAACTGGCCATAGAAGCATGAGTTTGTTGCTGGATTCTCAAGTCTATTCAGTGGATTTATGTCTATCCTATGATAGTACCACACTGTTCAACTTTGAATATTTTGAAAAATTAAATCCTTATCATTGCTAAGTTTTTGCAACAGAAATATCTCCTGTTTGCATTCTTGCTCTGATAGATGCTCAGCTGCCATCAAGTTGTTTCTGACTCACAGCAACCCTATGTGTGTCAGAGTAGAACTGTACTTCGTACAGTTTCCAGTGGTTGAATTTTAGGAAGTCAACTGTCAAGCCTTTCTTCTGAGATGCCTCTGGTAGATTTGAACCCCCAACCTTTTGGTTAGCAGTTACACATGTTAAGCTTTTGCAAAACACACATTACCCAACATTATTTTGGGCCAGTTTATCTCCTCTACTTTCTTGGTCCGATTCAAGGATTGGTGGGTGGCTTTCTTTTCTGTAACCTGGGCTCTGTGCTCTCTCTGAATTTTCCTGCTGTCCTGGGACCTGGTCTACCCCAATCCCACCCTAAACAGTAATGTGCCCCACTCCTGAAAGATTTGCCTCATGTCCCCAGCCCAGCATGGTGCTGTGGAAGACTCAAACCCTGGTAGTTTCTTTTGCCCCTGCTAAGGTACTGCAGAATTATGCAGGGGCTTCTGTGCTTGACGGTTTCTCTTAGACATTTTCCACACTGGCCCATTCACCACTGTAGTCCACTTTTCTCCAAATTGGTGATTACCAGTAAGAACTCTCAGAATTTTGTTAACTGATGCCCTTTCCTCTCAGTCCCACTCTTAGTAGGACAACAGTGGGTGGTGGGTTGGAGATGCACCCGCCCACACTGAATGTTCCTACCACTGTAGAGATGC